GTGAAGATCCGGGTTAGAATAGGCATTCAACAACCCATGCTTGTACGAAGGCGACTTGGCTCGCTGACTTGGTTGATGCATGTCATCGTATCCCAAATGCGTAGATCGGTGCTCTTGATGATAATGACTAAATTGTTTGGTCCAGACTGGATTATTTACGAACCACCGTCATATAGCTGGTATATTGCTGAGTGCGGCGTTAAACAACAAACAATCAAACAACATCTATATAATTATTAAACACCTTCCAACAATGAGAAATTAAACTTATATTTTCTAAATATTCTGTTATATTTATAACATAATTTGATTCATAATTTAATTATTGCGTTGCTTTCTTCCCTGTCATTCAATGTGCATGTTAAACCCCTAAACTTTTAATATTTCATTTTTCATAAATGGCTACGTTAGTGCGTTGCCTAGATCTCTCGTTACCTATTCACAAGAATAGATTAAACTAATTTGTTTTACTATCATATTTCTGTTTATCTAATTCATAATACGAAATTGATAATTCATTTATAATAGTATAGATCATATTCGTGTATATCACTATCTGATGCTAAGGTTTTATTTCAGAAAATATAATTAATTCAAAATGTAGAAAGATACACAATTTGCCATTATTTGACTTTTAATCTGTACAAAGTATGATATAATGATCAGAATGCCTGTAGCGGGTAGTATTTAAGAAAGAAATATTTGTCGAGAAGTCCCATTTTTCAGATATGCCCTTCAGTAGTATTATTGCATATCTCCAGAGAGAGGTTTACATTGTAGTTCTCATTATTTGTGGATAATTCAAAAAGCAACATAGAAAATATATATGCTACCATGACGAAAGAATACAGAGTATACATAACTCGCAATTCTATATATTCAGCAAACAGCCCAAAACCGAAACTCCACAACATATCCGATTACACTGATTAAGGCTGTCCCAGTTCTCCATGCGATACTGACGCCCGTTCGTCTCCCAGACCATACATAATTTAATTTAAAAGGAATCCAGCTCAAGTCTAGAACGATTTGGCAAGCCTAGATTGCCTTAATTCTATCCATGAAAGTAAGCATTAATAAAAAAATATTGTTCTTGTCTGCTTCAGATTATATTTTGTAGATACTTATTTTAACTAGGAAAATTGTACTGACACCGGCCTGTCCCTATTGAAGCTATCCATAAGAATTTCGAATTGCCGTCCATTGTTCGATGTCAATACATCGATGACAAGTGAGGATATCATAAAGTAATCGTTGATGCCGCGCTACACTTTGATAAAAATTATAATCAAGTTGACTGGTGTGTGCATTACTACAGTGAACATGTACATGATCATGCCCTATTAATCAAATGCCGTAATGTCAAATACTAATTTATTATTGTGTGATGAATTTAACTGGATCAGTGGTTACATGTGATATTAATATTCCATCAATTTCTTTCCTGGTTGGTCCATCCATGTCTACAAAATGAAAATAATACAATTAAAATGGAGCATAGAAAAGTTCTTAATTTCAGGCTAGAGCTGTGGAAATCTAGACTTTCCCAATCATTATAGACTTGAGTTGGTCTCATGTTTTACATTATTCTCTTGGGTCAACGTCACAGCTCATACCATACACTAACAAGACCAGCTTGCCCCCCGCCGGAGCTCCCGGATTTTGGTTATATCATCTAACATGGCCAACTCTGCTCTTAAGTAAACAAGAACCTAATCAGCGAGGGGTCCTTTATCATCCCTATGTGGCTGCTTATAAAAATCTGATATCTTTTCCCAAAGACCTGGTTAATAATATATTTTCTGCTGAATATTCGAAACAAATAGAGTGAGTTGGTACTACATGTACATATGTATACGGTTCTATTTTAAATGACTGCAGCGCTCCATTATGAAAACAATTTGTTTTAACGCCGCTCTCAGCAGTATTCCAGTGATATATGACGGCGGTCTGTTGTATATGAAATATATGCAAATTGAATCTTGAATCTTGAAAGTTGTAACATTTCCGCAAATAAGTATCACATGCAGTATACAGTATATCAACTGCAATATACTGTATACATCAGTATACAGTGTGTCGCGAGCTCTGCGCTGGGCTGGAGCACACATTTCCTACACCTCTCCCTTCGGCAAACACCTCTTGAGGGTTGCAACGAGGTCACAGGTCAGGCGTGCACTCGTCAGTTGTCTAATACGGTCAAGAGTAAGATCTTCCGGAAGACCACTGCACAGGAGGTATTGGATTATTGAGGAGGTACTACGTGTTTGGAACTGGGAGTTGAACACTAAGCACTTTTAGAGAAGAGCTCACAATAAAACGTTATGGACTCGCGGACGGACTTGTGTTTTCATTTCAAGACGTACATTTATCAGGTTGAACTTCCTAACTGTAACAATAACTGAACTTTACGCCTTTTATACACATTTGTGATGGGGCGACAATGCGACAACGAGACATATTTTGACCTTGAAAATGTCGCGTTACGGCATCGTCGCCCTTTTGTAAAATAAAGAAAAGGATTATCAAAGAGCGACAATGCGAACACGCGACAATGCGACAAATGGCCAATTGTCGCGCTTTTGTTAATTTTGACACATTTTGCTTGTTTTTGTAAAGGCGTCAATGCGACAACGAGACAATGTCCCTTCCATAGTAATCCGTGCAAATAAAACTGAGTAATGAAATAGAAGTCTGACATGCCAGTTAAAAGATAGAGTGTTGCAGCTTCTGATTTCATAGATCTTCAAGAAGGGTTATCAATAATGGGATGGGTGATGAGTTCAACTGCATACGCTGTGATTAACAATAATGCTCCGAGTCAATACATTTTGTCAAATGTATGACATGTATTACGTGAATGATCATTGTGTGTTTCCGTGCTTTGTTCAGGTGAACAATTGACTTGTCCTTGCATGTGTTTGTGACGGGTGTCACTTGTGTGGCAGGATACGCTCACCTTTTCCCGAACACCCATTGGATGACCTGAACCACTTCGGATTTTTATCCCACATCAGTCTGATACACCATGATATAACTGAAATACTGAAATACTGTACAGTTGAAAATGATGTTTAATGCGATTACCGTATTGTGTTACTGCAACTGTTCATATTTTGTGCAGTGATGTTATGTAATATGTAAAAGAAAGCATATTCAATTATCCAATTGATTGGAATAGAATATACTTGCGTCAGCGTATTTTATTAACGCCCCAAATCGTAATTTAAACACATAAAATAACAGATCACGCATGGTGCCTTGACTTACTACTAGATTTAATGGGCCACCCCGAAATAAAATAGTTCCCCCCAAAGCGAGGAACATATGTTTTAGTATGTTTACAAGAAATATATTCCAAACAATATCCTCATTAGATGAGAAGATCTATTACAGAATTACCTCAGTAAGTCAATTACAATGACAGAGCGTCGTAATACATTTACATCAAGTACAATACGTCAAAATGGCCGACACGATAAACGTGACGGGAGATATTTCCGAAGTTGTTAATTAACCTGTGGCTATTTCAAGCCTTTGGCATCACTGATCAATTGGCCGATCATTGAAAGGTGATTGTGAAGATGTGTCAAATAGATACTAAGGTAAATTCATAGATTTCTGTAAATTGTCACTGCGACAGTTTGGATTTTTTTTCGTGTTTTTTTCTCTCTGGGATGGGTTGTAGCGAGAGTATCCTTAAATGGGCTTGCAACCACGCTTCTGTATGAATTCGTACCAGGGAATTCCAAGGGTTTTCCCCAGGAATGTGGAAGTAGTCAGTGTTTACGCCTTTTCAAGAATACAGTCACATGAAGAACGTCATGTGACCGACCTCTCGTCCAAGTCGTATATCTTGTAAACTTCACATTAAAAAATTAGTTATTGTTATAACCAAATGAAACACAACCCATTATCCGATAGGGGTAACTGTACATAGCCGTTACCACAATAAACTTAGTAACATTGTTTGGTTTTACTTCTTGGCGCGTGTCTGAATTCCATTAACATGTAACATATCCTAAAACTAGCTTATCAGCAAATCTCGCTGCACTGCGCGCGACAGATACTAGAGCAAGGCATGCCAGAAATACGAAACCTAAAGCTTCCGAAAGGAAGCCTTGGACATCACGTGCGTCGGGGGACCAGCGCCATCTGATTGGCCGTTAACAGTTGTACAAGGCGGAGCAAAAAGCATCGTTTTTCCGTCCATTTTACGCTTGAAAAACTCGACCCTTTTCTGGACACTTTCTAGACGCTGACCAATTAATCAATTTTAATGAATTTTTAGTCGTTTTTCCGTCCAATGACCATATACGGAAAAAAACGACGTTTTCGTGTTTGCAGTGTAAAAAGGAGTTGAAAATATTAGCAACCCTGATATGCTCATACAATATCCAGATGCAAATGAATCAGTGAGTTGGGTTAACGCCGCTTTTAACAGTATTCACAGTTATATCAAGGCGTGTCAGCTTAATGTGAGCGGAAAGCCCGAAGTGATGCAGGTCTTCGACGTTTATCACTTCGATGAAACCCACGAGCATGGTGCTGCCAAACCTAGAAACATAATCGGGGCGAACCGGGATTCGAACCCACATTCATAGGTTTCTGGCGTGCCCAAGGGACGCAACTCTGCACAGCGAATGACGGCGCCTTAGACGCCTGGGCCACCCGTGCCCCTATAGTAGGGATGTACAGATGTGATAAAACAAACTGGCTATTGCACTATGTCCGTTTACACCAATTCGAAACCAGAATCGCCATTCGGCTGTTCCCTCACGAGTTGTCAATCCGAATAACTTTAATGAAACCTTATTTTTCACCTGACCAAATGATTGTCCTAAAATGAAATCGAAAACGTTACTTTACTTGCAAAGTTTTAACAACCGATGGGCTGAAGAGAAAATTATCATGGTAATTAGATTTGATGATGTTGCATTCCAAACCGAATCCAAGAATGTTCGTAATAACAAAATATGTTCTTAATCAATATATTTCAGGTGTCCGCATCCTGTGTTGGATCGTAATCCACTCAATGAACTTCTCAAACAGGAGTATGTCCGTCAAACGGACTTGGACAAAACGGTGTGATATCATCTTGTTCTTCAGTTCGGAGACGGACCCTTATTTCCCAACAATAGGACTGAAAATTCCTGAAGGAAGAGCCTATTTACCCCAAAAATCGTTTGCAGCATTAATGTATATATACAAACACCACTATGACGATGCTGATTGGTTTCTCAAAGCTGACGACGATACCTACGTCATCATGGAAAATTTACGTCACTTCCTCAGAGACAAAGACACAACGGCACCGTATTACTACGGTCAGGTGTTTCGGAATTCCTACAACAGCGGCGGCGCAGGGTATGTCATTGGAAAAGAAGGCTTGCGGCGGTTTGGTAAAGAGGCTCCAAACACGGGCATGTGTACGAATGGCCAATCTGAAGACGTTGTAATTGGTCAGTGTTTGGCCTTCTTGGGGGTGATGCTCTGGGCAAATACAGAGGACACGTTAGGCAGACCACTGTTCAACTGGAACAATGCATATGGGAGTCTGAATGGTGACGTGCCTGCGTGGGCAAAGAATTCTACTCACACCATCATAGTGAGTTTTCTTAAATAATATGAAACCCCATTGATGCGGACGTACCGTTTCATCAGAAACTCCAGATATATGAGGTTTATAAGTACTTTTTCCTTGCATAATTATAGACGTTCTAAATATTAATCGTCTGGATGAGGGGTTTCAAGACATACGAAGTCCAGATTAATGAGGTTTCAGAGTAAATTCTTGTTTCAGCAAAGCATATTCACAAGAGAAATATGTAACAGTATTACATTGTCAAGTAATTACTATTTCATTTGAATAACGACACTTTGATCTTAAGATTTATTTACTAAGTCTTTCAAAAGCAGAGAAACTCTAATATTAGGAGTGAAAATGAGACACGTTTTATCAAATAAGAGGTAAACCTTGGTATCTGAAAGTCAGATTTTAAAATATTTTTCATATGTGAAACTATTTCTCCCAGAGAGAGCCAAAAATAAAATGGGATCCACCTTCTTTTCTAAACATACATGTACATTCATCCATTCGAGCAGGTGTATTATCTATTTTTGTACTATTATTGCTTTAATATTATTCATCAAGATTTTTGTCATTAACTGAAGGCCTGTCGTAAAATCAACCTTTGAAAATAGGCACATTGCCACTATTTTCGAATTGTGTGCTTGAGGATAAATAATTGTATCATATTATGCCTTATAAGTGTAAGAAAATGATGGTCAGTATTCTATTTTGAAACTGTAAAGATGTCATTTTTATTCTTTTAATTTTCAGGGTCTGCATGGCGTCAGTAATATAGCAGTTTCCTTCCATTACGTGAAACATCCAGATATACAATACTTTGAGTTTTTCCTTAACAATTTAACCGTGCATGGCTTCCACAGGCCTGTCTGGCCTGTTTGATCATGAACAGGCTGTATAGTTGATCATCAATAGAGTGTATGATTCATCGCTTACAGGCAGTAGGCTTTATCACCCTGGACTGTTGGTCAGGCTTGCTGACTTGGTTGATGCATGTCATCGATCCCAATTGCTCGATTATTTTACAGACCGCCGTCATATAGCTGGAATATTGCTGAGTGCGGCGTTAAACAACAAACAAAGCCCTAGTATGTATGGATGATCACATGTAGGACACATGGTTGCTGCCTACATGGTGTTTGATTGATCACACACACACACGTCTTATGATTAATCACCTACATTATGCATTATTGAGAAACTATAGTGTATTATTATATAGGTTATAGTACTGAAACCTAAAGCCTGAATGATTGATCAAGCACTTGCGTGTTTGATCACCAACAGACTATAAGGCTGACCACTTCGAGACTCCATGAATAATCACCTTCAGGCTCTGATCACATACAGGCTTTTATGTTTGATCACCTACAGTCTCTATGACTGATCCTACAGCCTTTATGATTGATCACATACAGGATATATATTTGATCACCTACAGACTTTATGATTGATTACCTACAGACTCTATGATTGACATGCGATGCTACACTCAAGCTCAAAGGCCAAGAACAAGAAGATACATAATTTGCAAATGCAAGTTATTATATGTTGATGAAGCCAGTATCGAAAAACGACGACGAAATCAAAAGTATAGGCACTGCTATATGACTCTATAGAACAATATTAAAAAGTGGTATATTTGGATATATGCCGAATGTTGAATTTTCAGTAGCTAATGTGCATGTTGTACCTATACGTTTATCTGCAGTTTGTTATCATTTTCATTGAAATAATACGTGTTACCTCAAAAGTTGTTATTTTTTATGCTTAACATACGAGGACATCCCATTACAGGTCACGTCAGAACAACATTTCGCGAACTATGACCTACCAATGAAATGACCAACAGGAAGTCGACGTTTGCCACTTAGAAGGCAGCTCTCTTAAGCTTTGGGTACCAGTTTCAAAGTTGCGACTTCCATTCCAGACAATGCTTTTTAAAGTATTTTGAATCGGTCATACATTCCGTAACAGTTGTTTTGTGTTAAACTTAGAGGTTGCATGATTAGAAAACATATTCCGCCAACAATGTAACCTAACAATATGAATATTTATTTTATATTTTTTATTACGTGTTTGAATCCTTATCTATCGTGTAGTTGTCCGATTTTCGATCACGAACGTTGATACTACTAAGTTTCGTTTATCCGACATACTCGTTAATCCTACATAATCATATGCAACCATCGATGTCGAATTAACGGGACTTGACTGTAGATGATATGCAACTTAATGTGTCGTGTTGACTGGCATATTTTTGCATTTTACGTGGGCTTCTAACACCACCTGCGTGCATCCTTTGGAAAATAGTAAATTGTATTGAGGGTTTGACAGGGAGCCAACACTACTTTGATATAAGTTAACCAGGAGGTTAGAATATTTAATCGGGATATTTGAAGAGTTGGCACTGTCTATGAATCCAGTGTTACGAAGACAGTGTTGATCATAAAATGTTACAGAATGCGATCTTAATTGTAGTCAAACTGTTGCCTTGTCATCACATGGTATGACATTTACATCAATATGAAAGTTAACACCCAAAAGGGTCATCCTAATACTTGTCCATAGAGTAAACACATGACTTCAAGAGTGACATATTGTGTGACCATGTTATCCTTTCAATACACCTTTTAGTAATACAATGAATTTAAATTCATGAAATTATTACTTCAGAATGTGGAAGAAAGCAAAATTATATACAATTACTTTCTTAGACTTCCCAATCGCTGTCAAATTGAACATTGTCAAACAGGTAATAAGTATCAATAGTGACAACTACGCCTCCTAATTATAAAATAATATCATTATTATGATCATGATTCTGATTATGATTATATGAAAGCAACACGGATCTTGAACATAAGACGAGGATACTGTTAACACAAGCAAAACAGCAACATTATAAGCATATTCAAAAGTGACTTAAAAGCAAAATTATTTCAGCATTAGCAGTGGTTATAAAATTACAGTTTCTTTGTTCTGGTGATTGTAACTACAACTATTTAATTTGTTACAATCGACTTCATTAAACTAGCTAGCGTAGTAATACGTTTCATCAGATGAAGGAGTCAGGCCAAATAGCGCCTGCAGTTTCCCCAACATCTCCGCAAATGTAGGCCGTGCTTGGGGAGAGCTCTTCCAACAAGTTTGCATGAGTTCGTAGTGACTGTAAATATAGAACGATTAGTTCACATCACCGGAGCATCAAAATGTTATGTTTTGTTTGTTTGGTTTTTGTTTAACGCAAATATGGGATCGAGTGGCCAGGCTGGCTGTCTGTCTGGCCAATTGCGTAGATCGATGCTCGTGTCAATCACTGAATTGTCTGGTCCAGATTCAATTATTTACTGACCTCCGTCTATATGCTGGAACATTGCTGAGTGCGGTGTTAAATAACAAACAAGTAAACTCGGTGGTAATAGAAAAGCTTTAAACTGATTTCTACCACCTTCCTGAATATCAGGATCGGTGGATCCGTAAATCAAGTAAAAAATTGAGACACCTTCTGTACACAATGATAATAATGTGTTTTATTGGTCTTATAAACTCCATGGCAAAAGATCGTATACACTTAAAATATTGGATTTGACCAGTAATTACAACGTTACCAAAACGGTACCTGGGCTGAAAATAATTAACAATTTATGTTTGTTTCACTTTTTTGCCACCACCACCACCACACAGGGTTGTATACTTTCTTTTGCCAGGCAGTGTATTAACAAAGCCACTTACACGTCTTCTGCAAACTCGGGTTTCTTGAGACGATGTCCGTTTCGAATCTTTGTGGGCAGATCTCGGCTTCTTACACCATCGTATGGAGTTTTGCCTGTTGGTGGGTTCAAACGTGATTATCGTTCACACTGCAGAAACGTTCTTGAGATCATGTCTTTGGAAAGTAAATCATCCTCACAGGCTGCAAGAATATTTTTATTCCCTATCTGCCATGGACTTTACATGTATACGTCCACATAAAAAATATTGTTCTCATAAGATTTTTGAAAACAAAACAGGTAGGACTATTACTACTCTTGTTTTGAATTTAAGATTCCAAAATCACGTTGAGCATTGATTTCGCCAAGACAGGTTAAATAAAAATGTGAAGCTTCGTATCGGAAAATGATTTTAAAAAATACAAGAAGCAAGAAGAAGAAGTTTAAAGATCTAAACATGTCTTACCCATACTGAAGATCTCCCACATAGTGATGCCAAAGGACCAGCTGTCACTCTTCTCGTTGGCTCCCTTCAGAGACTGAAAACACTCTGGAGCCGTCCACTTCACAGGGATTTTATCCTGGAAAATAGGTTTGTGATAACGTGCCATTGTATTTCTTGTTACACTACTCGTGAGATACATGTAGTGTGTAGCACTTCGGTCAGATATCAGTATTATATACGTTAAGAGAGATTGAGAAGAATTACGAAATTAATCATGTATTGGACATATATAATAAATAATATTCATTACAAGTTTCATCACTCTTCAAAGGCGCTGGACAGGTAGTTTTGAGACATAATTTCAGCCTCTTTTTATTGTAGATATTGTGGCTTGAATTGAAGATAAGTCCGTTTCTTCATCGGTCAGTTATGTTGAAACACTGTGATGTGGATTTTATTCTAATAGTGTAATTTGAAGTACATTTTTACAACGAAATGAAGGATTTTCTAGTAAATCTGCTTGAAACCACACTTTAGCCCTACTTTTAGCCTTGAAGGCTGAAATGCAAGTTTTATATGAACCATGGTCAAAGAATGTCTGTGGAAGGAAGTCAACCACTCATACCAGTGTTACACATTATCGTGACAAAACAAGGCATATAGCCCACCCCTTGCCTATGCCATCAGATTCAATTGCTAGCGATGCTGCTATCACTGTAAGGGAGATGAAGCAAAAATTGGGCGTTGTAGTATTGTTAAGAATACTTTGAAATATTTTTTGTAAGTGTACAATATGATACCACTGCAAACTGATGCCTCTGGATATGCATGTGTACGGTGGCCCATAAACGTATAAGCAGATCTATCAAATCTAGTTTTAATTAAAATCCCATAGGTAAGAAATTGTTCGATTAAATGGCGGGTAATGTATCTCTTCGGGCTTTCTAGGTCGTCCATCATTCTGTTTAAATGACAGCTGAGATATATTCATTTTATGATAAACAACGTGTTACAACAACCAATCCAAATTCTAATATTTCACGAAGTTGTGTTGATTCATGTCAGCCTAATAACGATGGTTGGTGTTATTGGTAGCTTAGTTGAGAAATGTGTTTTTTTTTAAAACACACCGATTTAGCATTGTTGTCTTCACCATCCTCTTCCAATTTACAGGGACCAAATCCTGTTACCTTGACCTCGTCGGAGGATGTGAGAAGGCAGTTGCGGGCCCCTAGCTTCCGATGAACGATCTGTGTCATTTGAAATAGCAAAGATACAATAAAAAATATAATATCAATTCAATTCGTATCACACTTAGCAAACCCTTTCAGGGTAAATGCACTGTGCTAAGAAATCCATACCAAATTTATTTCTAAAAAAAATATTACTGAACGTTTTAAAGAATAAAACCAATGTATCATCGTTACGATTTTTCTTTTTCCGAATGTTCACTGGAATAATATAAATTTCACCAAAACCATTCTGATCAAAACACATAAGCCGTAACGGCCCCTCCGTAACGTCCCCTTAACGTTGAAGGACTTTAGCTTTAGGTCTGATCTGTGTACAACTCACGCCCTTGTCGGCCAGGTAAGCCATGCCCCGAGCTACTCCGAGGGCAAACAGGTTGACCTTCTCCATGATTTCATCGTTGATCTTATTCTGGTGACTTGATAACCATTTGTCCAGCTGTCCCTTTCTGCAGATTTCTAGGACCATCACAGGTCCCACTGTAAAGCAATACAAATACTGAAATACCTATACTGCACTTCCATAGATCCATAGATCGCGAGCCTATTACGACCAGATCGGACTCGGATCGCGAGAGGGTTCTAGATCTGTACCTATCGTCAGGAAGCGAGGTGCTGGCTGTAACACTCTTGCAACCATGTCGCGACTCAAACATAAACGTCCCTCAACCGCGATCCTTTCGCGACCAGATCGGAATCAGATCGGATCAGAATTGATCGAGATGCTTTCGGTATCAAGATACAAGCGTTTTCCTATCATAATGTGACGGATCGCGAACGTGGATATAGTTGAAGTATATATATGGAACAGTAGGGAAACTGACTATACATGACCCGTGAAGATCCGGGGTCTTCAGCAACCCATGCTTACCGTGAAAGGCGACTATGCTTGTCGTAAGCGGCTACTAACGGAATCGGGTGGTCAGACTCGCTGACTTGGTTGATACATGTTATCATATCCCAGTTGCGTGGATTGATGCTCATGATGTCAATCACTGGATTGTCGGGTGCAGGCTCGATTATTTGCAGACCGCCGTCATACGGCTGGAATATTGCCGAGTGCGGCGTTAAACAAAAAACAAACAAACAAACACAACTATACCTTATTCACAAATCCAAAACGGGCTTTGTCATCACCGATCTCAGCGACCCGAGAAGATTCCGGGGTAGAATAGGTCTTCAGCAACCCATACTTGCCGTAAAAGGCGACCATGCTTGTCGTAAAAGGCGACTAACGGGATCGGGTGGTCAGGCTCGCTGACTTGGTTGATACATGTTATCGATCTCAATTGCATGGACCGATGCTCATGATGTCAATCACTGGATTGTCTGGTCCAGATTCGATTATTTTACAGACCGCCGTCATATAGCTGGAATATTGCTGAGTGCGGCGTTAAACAACAAACAAATAAACAAACACTTTAAAGCATATAATTTCGTTTAGGGTGTTAACAGCCTTAGGTCTGGGATCATATTCACCGCGACGAGATCGGAATCGGTTCCGGAATCTGTCGCGCTGTGTGGCATCCGATCTCGATCTGTACCTTATAATATTTGGATCTGAGAATACCTATCCGAAAGTTTAACACGAATACCCAACTCATAAACATTATACTAACCAGACCGTTCCTTGTTTTAATCCTTAAATGCGGAGCGCCTGCGTAACACTAAGTACCATGTTTTAACGTCTTTTAGTAAGACGCGGTAATGGTTTGAACCATTGACCTTCCGCTCTACGGGCAGACGTTCGACCAATTGGAGGGCATCAGACGATCACGTCTTTCAAAGTATTTTTATTTCTTCCACAGTTTTAATCATAGAACATTTTTCAGTTGCAAATCACCAGCAGATGGAGGGATGTTGTACGCCTTGCTGGGGTCCCATGTAGGTAGCAGAGATACGTTAAGTCGCTATGGTCCCCAGTCTGGCCTGACTATGGATACTGGCCGTCTGTAGACCGTGTTGTATATTGAACCGTCAAATACTAGTCCTATCATTTTAATGATAATTATAATGAACCCGTCACAGTGTAATCTCGTGATTGCCAAATTACTCCAAGTGCAAACACAAATGTGAATGGGGGCACGGGTGGCCCAGTCATCTTAGGCGTCGCGATTCGCTGTGCAGAGTTGCGTCCCTTGGGCACGCCATAAACCTATGATTGTGGGTTCGAATCATGGGTCGCCCCAATTATGTTTCTAGGTTTGTCAGCACCATACCCGTGCTCGTGGGTTTCACCGAAGTGGTAAACGTTTGAGACCTGCATCAATTTGGGCTTTCCTCCCACATTAAGCTGACACGCAGGGATATAACTGGAACAAATTTAAAAGCGGCGTTAAACCCAACTCACTCACGCACTCACTCACAAATGTGAACACTACAATAGCATTGATGTGAGTTTACATTAAAATGAATACATACATGCATCGTTGTTGACAACTGCCCCGATAAATTTCAGGACATTTCTGTGTTCTCCAACCTGGGTTGCTGCAAAGTTGATCTTTGCCAACATCATAAGTCTGCTGGCATCATTCACCTCATCTGGAATTTAGCAAGCGATCACCAATGCATGTAATTTTTTTAAATAAATACATTGATCAATATTATAAACAAGGGGTGTGCACTCAAATATTAAATATAAATCGATGTGATACCTAAGTGTGGCTTATCGCATAGCACCATCTTATCATACAGGCGAAGGCTACACATCAGGCAAATTTATTTGTAAGCACCGTTGGTCACGGAGATGACCGTCTTTAGCAAGCTTGACTCCTAGTTTTTTTCTAGGTCTTCAGTCCTCTCCCACAATGAAACATGTGTCTTTTTAGGCAAGAGACTTTGTTCGAAACATGCCTCCGTTCACCCGGCAGTGAATGGGTACCCGGTAGATTGAGATGGTAATGTGTCTGTTACTTTATATTATAGCACCTAGTAGGGCAGCTTGGGTTTAATACTCCCAAGAGCACACTGACCTATCGAATAGGATAATAACAGTGCGCTTTGCGCGAGCTTGTAATTGTGGATTAATAAAAATACATATTGTTTATAGCTGAAATATTACTGATTGAACGGTTTAACACCTTTTATTCACTTATGTCACGACATTAAACACCCAAACACACCACCATACTACTAATCAGGTAGAGAATGAACACATTACTTTTAATTTGTTGGTTTGTTTTTCAACATCGCTTACTGCTATATTTAAATAACATGATGGCGGCCTTTTCATAACTGAGTTCAGACCAGACGAAACCGAACCTAACCACCAGATGCATTTCGTTGCTGCGCACGACAATCAAGGTCTACTAGGGACATATCCTAACCCCGAATCCCCGAAACCCCGAGGTAAATATTTTTAAATAAGGGTCACCGAATATTTGTTTTACTTAATTTTCAGTTATGTACTTTGTATTTCAGAAACATGTATATCATGAGTGGTAGCTTGATGTCGGAGCAATGCTAACAAGAGTTTGCCACTAACGTGGCTATATCCCCCGCCCCTGTTGCAGAATTTATGATATAATTAAAATTAAACAAACCCTAACCTTTTTTAACCGAGGTGGAACTTGTCATGGAAATTGTAAAAAAAAGAAGAGTTTGGAACCTAAGTCCATCTTGTTGCCATGGAAACGTAAAAAATAAAAATTTCTAAAATTTCTAAATAGCAAAAGGCACCAGTTCAGCATTACCGGACAGACCTGCAAAGTTTGATGAAAAAATATTGAACGGTTTATGAGTTATGCTCCGGAAACGAAACGTGACGGACGGAGGCCGTTTCTATATCCTCCGCCAACTTTGTTCGGAGGGGGATAATAACACAAAATGCGCCATGGACAAGCGCTTGTTTGCATTCAAAATATTAATATCTGAGTATGTGAGATTTGAAACATCTACCACTATTACACAGAAAATATCAGCGCGTCTTCGTTGGCCTCTTTGTCTATGAGGAGTTACGTCCCTTAGACGTGCCCAGGTCCGATGATCATGGATCCCAGTCACGCAGACCTTTAAATTTTGGAACCATCCTACACCTCATGGTGAGGACAGACGAAGGATCATTATCTGGACGAATGTGGAATTCAAACCTGTGATCAGCGTATCCGTGTTCGGCTAAAGGACGTAAATCGGCACAGCAAAATTTTACAGCTTAGATCACTAAGGCATCAGTAGCGCCTTTCTCTCGTACATACTTTATGGTTTCAACACAATCTCATTATAATAAGATCTTAATTCTCGCTATCGCTAAAAACAAAGATCTGAGGACATCGCATTACGGGTCACGTCAGAACGACCTTTCGCGAACTTTGACCGGCGACTGAAATTACTAACAAGAAGTTGACATCAGCCAATTAGAAAGCAGCTTTCTCTAGCTTTACGGCACTCGTTTTAACCTGGCGACTTCCATTTCAGACTACGGTTGAAAGATATGTTGACACAGTTCTCGATTAAAATTTTGAAAACTGAACAAACGAACACTCCGGAATGTCTAATGTATGGTTGACATTGTATGGCAGTGCTTCCCACGTACTTTGCAACGCCTCCTCCGTTCAAATGTTTACACGGATGCAAGAGATAGACGATAATTTTGGACGGAATCAGTCGTACGGGCCGTTACTGTCGTTCGGAATACCCCGTGCTAACATTTTCGAGGTTGCATGATTAGAAAACACATTCCGACTGTCACTTTCATGATTGGTCGGATGAAAGGTCGTTCTGACGTGACCCGTAATGGGATGTCCCTCGATCTTTGTTCAGCGAGAACTAAGATCTGATTTTAATGAGATTGGGTTTCAACATGTACCTTTTAGCACTTTAGCCACCACCTCTGTTGACTGTGCGCCATGTTTGTACGTGGCCTTGAGTATCCGAGCAAACTTGCCAACCTGCAGCTCCTGCTGCAACTTGAGATTATCCTTCGAGATGTACCAGGGTTGCTCCAACCCGAACTCCATACTGCCGTACTGGTAGATGTCATCATCCGCATTGTACGCATTGTTCTGCAAGAAATAGAAACAGCTTTGCTTGATCAATAACTGTGACCCAGTCTTCTACGACGCTGCAATTCGCAGTGCAGAGTTGCGTACCATTTGGCGTGCCAGAATCCTACGATCGGGGTCGAATCCCAGATTCGCCCTGGCTATGATTCTTGGTTTGTGAGCAACGTACCCGTGCTCTAAGACCTGCAGCATCATATGCGTGAATAATAATAATAATAATTATAATTATAATTTTCGTAAAATTCACACTCAGCAACATTGAATTTCGTTAGAGTACACATTGTAATTATAATCGATAAAACCCTTTCCATATTCACAAGAAATTTTCAGAATTGAAATTGGTAAATAATTGGTTGTGTCTCACCAACGTAAATAAATCCACATGCGGTACATACATTTGTTGTCAAGAAAGCACAATAAACGTATTTTCGGCTTTGGCTGACTCGGAGGAACTTCGTAACGCACGACTTCTCAATTCAGGGGTTGATAAATCAAAATGTGTGTGTGTGGTGTGTGCGTGTGTGTGTTGTGTTGTGTTTGTGTTTTGTGTGTGTGTGTGTGTGTGTGTGTGTGTGTTTTGTGTGTGTGTGTGTGTGTGTGTGTGTGTGTGTGTGTGTGTGTGTGTGTGTGTGTGTGTGTGTGTGTGTGTGTGTTTGTGTGTGTCAGTATAACTGTCTCGGCCCAAACAGTTTTCGATATTGAGCTCAATACCAGCAAGGGCTTTGACATTGGTAAGGTCAGTATCCATTGGTACCAACTGATCACGAATCAAATGCAAACATCTAATTAATAATAATCATTAAGGAAGATCGATGGAATGAGTATGGATTACCTTGTAAGACATTACTTTGGCTTCGGCATTGTTCAGCTTTCCCCGAGGGGGTTCTTGATATGTGCGCCGTGTGGTGTAGCGACTTCGCCGACGTTTCATCATGGCTGCTGCCTTCCCTGTTTTCCACACGAAGATGCCTACACCTAGTACTACTACTATCAACAGCGCCCCTGAAATAACAGTGCGGTTTAGTGAGTGAGTTGGGTTTACACTTTTAGCAATACGCCAGCAATATCACAGCAGGGATACCAGCAATAGGCTTCACACAATGTGTAAGTGAGTGAGTTAGGTTTTAACAGTATTCCAGTTATATCGCGGCGTGTCAGCTTAATGTGTGAGGAAAGCCCGAAGCGATGCAGATCTCAGACGTTTACCACTTCGGTGAAACCCACGAGCACGGGTATGGTGCTGACAAACCTACAAACATAATCGGGGCGAACCGGGATTCGAACCCGCAATCATAGGTTTCTTGCGTGTCCAAGGGACGCAACTCTGCACAGCGAATCGAGGCGCTTCAGACGACTTGGCCACCCGTGCCCCCTTCACACAATGTAAAACCCGGATATTCAGGGCTACCCCACACCTCGTAGCCAACTACGGAAAGAAATCAGATGCAGTCAAGAGTAATACCAACCTATGGCTATTCCAGCAATCGCTCCTGTGCCAATCCCGGGTTGGGCCGGAGCATCCACTGAATCATTTTCAAAACATTTTCATAAAAAAAACGCAGTATCAGTTTGTACTTGACTCAAGAGTAGTGATATTAAATTCATTTACAGAATTTGCGAATCGAAGAAGGCAACATAATATAAGTATATAATAACCTTATTTCAATCAGAAATACATGACTGTTGTACTCACAAGTCTTAAAGGATACCGCGACTGGTTTACTTTTGATTCCGCCATAGTCAGTGGTTACTTTGACCGTGTAGGCTCTACTAGGGTCAAGGTCGGTCAGGTCATAGTAATTGGCGTCCTTGTAAACCTTGATCATATCAGAATGTCCAGTGTCCCACTCGTAGTTAATCCAGATGAAGGTCCGGGGATAGCAGCTCGGAGAATGATGCCAGGTAACACGGACACTTGAATCGCTGATTTCCTCCGTGTTAACTCCCATTGGTCCAAAATCTGGTATATCAAATTATATTTAGATACATTTTCATCTTCTTTTTCCTATAGGAAGACGTACTCTTAAGTTCATTATAAAAGATCATGAATTTCAAGCCATGTTGGTGACCGCGGTGGTCCAGTCAGCTAACGGTTGAAGAGTTGCGTCTCTTTGGCGTGCCAGGATATAATGATGGTGGGTTCAAAAACACATAAAATGATTCTAGATTTGTCAGGACCCCACACCTCACCGTGTTTTCACCAAAGAGATAAAATGCTAATACCCGCACCACTTTCCTACACTATTAAGCTGACACGCCATGAAATACTTTTTGAAGCGGTATTAAACAAAATTCACTCATACAAGACAAGTACACGTTCATGTACATACATAGAAAATAGAGCGACAGGGTAGCCTTGTGATTAAAGCGTACGCTCCCCTGGCCTAAGACTATCGTTTGATTCCCCACGTGGCTATATAATATACGTCATACAGCTGTAGTAATGAGTGAGTAAATTGGGTTTAACGCCGCTTTTAACAGTATTCCAGTTATATCACGGCGTGTCAGCTTAATGTGGGAGGAAAGCCCGAAGTGATGCAGGTCTCAGACGTTTACCACTTGGGTGAAACCCACAAGCACGGGTATGGTGCTGACAAACCTAGAAACATAATCGGGGCGAATCAGGATTCGAACCCACAATCATAGGTTTCTTGCGTGCCCAAGGGACGCAACTCTGCACAGCGAATCGCAGCGCCTTAGACGACGTGGCCACCCGTGCCCCTACAGCTGTAGTAATGCAACAATAGGTATAAACCCTTACTTTACAGAAAGAAAAAGAAAAGAATGTCTGCAACGTAAATTTTCAAAATTAATTTTAAAGACAAAACTTAACAAATATTCATCCTTACAGGCTTCGGTTCCGTTCTTTTAGATATATTTTCGTTGATTTTATATATTACTTTGTATTGTATATTTAAAGATTTACTTGAAACATATTTATTTTGCTCTTTGACATGTGCCATGTGGACCGGTTGTCAAACTTGAAGTGTGTGTCCAAGAATTATATTTTCAATAATCTTTCACGTTACTATATGATTCATGATTTTTCCGTTCTCGCCAAGAGATAAATGTTTGTAAATATTCCGTTTCATTTTTCAAACTTCACTCGCAAAGAAGGAAGCGTGGAATATTTCACGATAAAACATTGTTCTACCATGACGCAATTTCTAGAGTTTCGAACAAGAGCTCGCAACTTGATGACGTCGCAAATTGGACGACGTCATTTTTGAGTGTGATGTGTCCGTGAGGTTTTTTCCCCTCAGATGTAACTGGGCAAAGCGGATTAAGGCAATGGCAAATGGCCGATCAGTAAATAACAATCGGTATATAATGTTTGTTTATGTAGTGGTGGTGGTGCAATTATCTTCTCTGAAATTTCATTTCAGTCCTCAGTATTTAAGCAGAAATATTTGAATATCAATGCTAACAATAATTTTAGGGCATATATTTCAACTGTTGGCTTCCACATCCATGTGAGCTAAAGTGCCGTTGCACTTTTTTCCTGTTTGAAAGGGGGTAGGGCCAGAAAAAGATGTAGATGGACGCCCATTGCAGTTAATCGAGAAGCCAACTATCGACTGTGTGATAATAGCATCACACAGGGAAGTAACAATGTTATCTGCAAAGCTTGATCACACTTGCACCTGATAGCCTGTTAACTCGTGGTGTCCTTAAAGATATGTTGTCCTTTTTTCACTCATATAAAATTACCAGTGAGTTGTATTTATATTATTAGTTTAAGGTAAAGCAAAGATGATTGTTTGTGAGTTTTACTTTTAATGATATGCACATGTAGGTACCGTGTAACCAGTAAAAAAGAAAGGGTAACTACTAAATCATAAATGCTACAATACATGGTCACTTATCCACTTGACTAGAAAAATAAAACCTCAACCAGGCAAACTATGAAACACTGTTCGAAGCAGCGTTATCTCCCGTTCACTCATGCACTGACTCAGTGTGGCAGTGCGACATATATACTGTGCAAAAAAGTAGAGCACACTTTGTTTTGAGGTGTACCTACAGAAAATACACTTACATCTGGCAATTGAAGTAAGTAATGTATGTACCAAGAACATTGTGACAGTCACGAAGCACGTGACCTAGCTGGGGCAGCATGTGCAAGGGGTGGTATGCCAGATTTACCATTGTCACTCAGATTCGTTTGAGAGCAGACATATATTGTTTCCATGGAACCAAACGTTCAAACACACTTTATCAAACACATTTTGTCATTAAGGAAAGAACAGCAAGGATCATACGATTTTTGCAAAGTGCATGTTGCAGGTGCAGGTGGGCACACGTCAGAATATTGTTGCCCAAACGCTGCATGTTTCTAAATTTGTCATCAGCAGATTGTGGGCCGGATACCAACGAACACAGAACGTCGATGATCGACGCCGCTCTGGACGCCGAAGGGCAACCACTCCAGCCCAGGACGGATTAGTCAGAACGATGGCATTACGAAATATGTTGCAAACTGCCACTTAGATAGATATGGGATCGGTTGCAACAGCCAACTGGTGTAAGAGTACATGCCCGTTTAAAATCGTCTGCTCAGATGTCATGTTTGTGCCTGACGTCCACGCCACATCCCTAAACTTACTGCACGTCATTTGAATCATAGGCGTCAGTGGGATAATCGACTTTGGGCTAATGTCATGTTTTCGAGGAATCGAGGTTCACTCTCGACTTCCAAAACTACCAAGGTTTGTAGACAAAGCTTTAAAAGGTTGACACTCAAATACCTGCAACTGTGTACCACTATTAATCCATCAATAGTAACGCGAGACCACTGTAAGTATTTCTGACATATCACAGATTCATCTTTATGGATATCACTGGTTTCCCCATGAAATCTATGGTTGAATGTTGTGAAATAGTTTTCGTGACTTTATCATTGTACCCAATATTGCATGGGGATGCAGGAAACATACCGGAAAATGCGCACATAAATTACCGCAACATTGAAAATGGTGAACGCATTTAGACACCCAAACTATCTATATGAAGCTGATTTAAAACCGCCTCTCCTTCTTAAAATATAATGTAAGAACGTCAAACACTTTATAATATGGGAAAATAATTAAATTGCAAGAGATTCTATTGCATTTAATCGGTTAACAAAGCAATGATTTTGTTTGCGTTTGTATTACCATAAACCTTAAAACAATAAGACCATGCCCACTAAATGGTTACAAAAATCTGTGAAGGTATTATTGTTGACTTATTTATTCATAATTTTTTTGTACGCATTGATATCATGTACGTAAAATGTATGAAGATAATAATTTCGGAAATTTAATTTCCTACAAATATGTACAATTTAACGTGTGAAGGTCTGCACGTTGGTTGTCTTATCCGTCGCCAAAGATGCTCTCCAGTCGAGTGGTCGGTGTGTGTGCGTGCGTGCGTGCGTGCGTGTTTGCGTGCGTGCGTGCGTGCGTGCGTGTTTGCATGACACGCCTTCAGCCTGTCCACTTCCTGTACGCAGTTTCAACGTAACGTTCTCCCCGATGTCATAACGCCCACATCATAACGCTACCCCCACCAAACCTGTCCACTTTCTTGACGCAATTTCCGGCGTAACGTTCTCCCCGACGTCTGTAGACCCGTGCTCTTCCATCCCCTTGCACGGAGGAGAAATCTTGATTAGTCGCTGAACCAGACACTCTCTTTCGCAGTTGAGGCCATACCCTGTGTTGCTGACACCAATGCAGTCGTTGTTGACGATGTTGACGACTCAATATGACGCGTCGAACAGGACGTCTTGCTCGTAGACCAGCTGCTCTTAAACGGTTTCGTCACCTCCTGAATGATATATATTGTTGAGATATGTTTATGAAATTGTGCGCTTAGTATTCACAACAACAAAAAATATCCCCAAAAATATTCATGATCCCGACATTATTTTGTTCAGCAATGGTGAGCTTATAATTACGATGGTTCAATGTAGGACTGCCTGTTACGGTGCTTACGTGGGTGCATTTATGGTTCGATGTCAGCCAACATGATGTCGACAGCAATGTGTATCACCAAAATTTATATATTCGTTTTAATTTGTTGACAATGTTGGCATAACGATCACTTGAAATATATGTATTGAACCTGCAAAAGAATACCAATCCTTCGTTTAATTTTATTCGTTTATATTAACATTAGGTATCGTTTTATTCAATGTTATCTTAAAGCAACAGAGTGCAAACTAGGTCACAAACAAAGCTTGTTATCAGGTCCGCCGGATACAGATAGGTCAACTTGTTTCGACGGGTCATCTTGACATATGCATAGCTATGGCGAGTGTAATTTCTAGTGACACGTTATCACAATGTGACCCATAGAAATATCTTCAGATAAATATTACATATACCACAACATATGATTTTACATAAGAAAATACATAGTTGTCAAGTATAGTCTTAATTAGAATAGAGTTAATTTTGATCCTATATTGCTATGCTTGTACGAGGCGACTTAACAGATATTGTTGTCTAGCTCGGTGACTTGGTTGATTGCGTGTGATCGTACCCCGATGACGTTGGGCGTTGCTCAGAATACCAATCACTGGGTTTCTCTGTATATATCGATGTGGTATTCAAACAAACCGACATGGTTACGTAGTTATTAATATTATTTTATGTCTACGAAAATACTGTCATCCCGTTTACGTTATTATATATAAAAATATGTTATCTCCATGTCGGAATGTCAAGATCTGATTGGTTCCAGTGATCTGAATAAAATACGATCTATCCTGTCAGCGAGGGGAATACATTTGTGAGAGGAAGGAGAAATCCTTTATACCCAGCTTCGCTCGTTTTTGTTTCGAGTCGACGAAAGTCACGTGACATAGCATGCTGTTTTATGCCTCGAGCTCGTTGAGTGAAGGCTAACTCGGGACTCCATGTGCCCCCTCGTGATCCTGCTGCAATGAATCTTTCCGACATGTTGTAACCTGCTATTGGTGAAAGAATAAAAACAAATTCAAAATTGATAGAAAACAGCCGTTCGATTGTGCTGAGGTTTATCTGTACTTTGTCACGTGAGCATACAGCTCTGGAATAAAACCTAATGCGGGACGCATAAAGCCCCAACCACCCCTCGTGATTCTGCTACAACTTATAATACATACTGAATAGGAAAAGGAAAAGGAAGTCGAGAATGAAATACTTAAGTTTATTTTTAAGAGAGGATGCATGCAAATGTGTAATTAGCGAGAAAGACACATGGCACACATTATTCTAACACTTCAATAAACGCTTTTGAACAACTGGAGGCAAACTTTCATCTGACTGGAACCGACCAGTGAAGATTCCGGGGTAGAATAGGTCTTCAGTACCCATGCTTGCCGTAAAACGCGACTATGTTTGTCGTAAAAGGCGACTAACGGGATCGGGTGGTCAGGCTCGCTGACTTGGTTGATGCATGTCATCGATCCCAATTGCGTGGATCGATGATCATGATATGAATCACTGGATAATCTGGTCCAGACTCGATTATTTACAGACCGCCGTCATATAGCTGGAATATTGCTGAGTGCGGCGTTAAACAATAAACAAACAAACAAACAAACAACCAAACTGACAGGAACCATAAATGAATTTGAGCTTCAGTTGCATCCGTGATCAGCATTTGTACTCACCACTGCATTGCACCTTTGGTACATGGAGTTCATGAGACTGCTGACAAAGGCCATAGGGATAACATGTCTAGATATTGGCAGCCGGGAGTTCCGCTGCGGTTGTTGTCCTTGGGTGCACTTGGTCTTGTCTTCTTTGCAGTTCAGCCATAAATGTTCTAGGGGATTAAAAACCGGATTGAGTGCTGAACACGTGTAGCGCTAGCAGTATAGGGTCTTGC